TTCAATCTTCTTGGAGGTTGGAGGGATGGAGGAGGGGGTCTTCCAAGAGCCCTGGATCACTTCCAGGAGATAGGGAAGGAAAGGCAGAAGAGGAGCGGGTGGAGATTCTCTCTGCACCCTTTTGAACACTGGGTCCAGCACCGCCTTGGAAGTCTGTTTGACCTCCAGGCCCAGAGCCTCAGCCATGCGAGCCATTTGATCCGCAAAGGCTCGGACATTGTCAGTGGGAGATGGAGGATCCGCCTCATAGGCGTCGTGAGTAGGTGATCTCTCGATCCCGAGAGACAACACCGATCCCGAGTGTACCGATCCCGGTAACTCGCCATCTTCCTCTTCATCATCAGGAGGCAGGGATTGGGGAGGAGGGGATGAGGAGACATCCCGGCTCTGAAGCTGCAGCGGAGCCACTGGAGGAGCTTTTGAGGCCGAAGCCCGAATGGCACTGGCCAGTCTCATTGTCTGTCTGCCCCTTTCCGGAGTCTGCAGTACTGGAGAGGTCTCCTGTCTGGCTGTCACAGTAGTCAACGCCGTGACCGACGGGAAGAGCTCCTGTCTGGCTGTCATGTGTCGAGTTGGCGCCTCGATCACCGTGTCCACCGAGATCACCGGGGACTCGGGTTGCTCCGAAGGCTGCTCCGGCAAGGGTTGTGGCTCCTGAACAGGCTGTGGGGCCGGCTGGGGTTCAGTAGGCTGTGACGGTGAAGACCTTGCCGACGAGGTGGCCGAGGAGGCAGTGGTCTGTTTTCGGGAAGAGGAAGAAGACGAGGATGGAGGCGGCATCGTCTTCTTCCTCTTTGCCGGTGGTTGAGCAGTCTTTGACAGCGATTTGCCCGGGGTGGGCGGGACGGAGGATGAGGTGGAGGCACGTCGAGACTCCTCCTGTGACCGGCGGAAGGCAATGCGAACCGCCGTGGAAGATGGCGGAGTCGCTGAAGTCGACCTCGTGGACCTGGCTGATCTCACCGACGCCACCGAGCTTGTCGACGAGTGCCGGATGCGTACGGTCTCAGTAGTGACCGTGCAAGGAGCCTTCTGCTTCGTAGGCTTCGGAGCCTTAGAAGCTGCCGACACTGAGGCCTTCGAAGTAGTCGACATAGCTGCTCTCGGCCTCTTCTGCGCGGCCTTTTTCGCCTTTGACTGGCGAGGCTCGGCCTCTGTCGAGGGATCGACAGACGATGTTGTCAGTGCCTTCGACATCGAAGCTGCTGTCGAAGGTTTAGACACCGTGGCTGATGTCGACGCCGATGTCGATGTTGAAGGTACCAGAGCCAACGTCTGTTGGTATAGAAGGTACCGAAGCCGATGGACCCGGTTTTTACGGGACTGTGCCGTCAATGCTTGACAATGACGACACGAGGAGGTAATATGTGCCTCTCCGAGACACAAAAGGCAAAGAGCGTGCTTGTCCGAGTCAGGGATCTTCCTCGGACATTTCGCGCATCTTTTGAAACGAGTTGTTGACATAATATAGTCAACAACCCGAGGAAAACTCTAGAGAGAATTCAAGGAATCACTATCCAACACTTATCCAACACTATCCAATAACAATATCCTAGAAGTACCGAAGCAAGCCGTGCGGCGGAAAAAAAGGAATTGGATCGGTGTGCGCGGGGCGCCCTTTTATCCCCTGCCGGGGCTGGGCGGGGTTACCGCCAAAACTTGAAAAGTTTTAAAATGTAGAAGTTTCCGTTGGAGCCCGCGCAGGCGCAGTCTCTCCACAAGTGTGCATTCGCAGAGACCACGAAGAAAAATCTATATTAGAGGAAAGGAAAGAAGAATGGATTGAAATATTCAGGTCCTTATAAGACAGAAGTCTTAAGATTTATGAGACATAATACCATAAGACATCAGACTATATCTGTTCCTAGTTTTCTCTTCACCAATGCAATGATAACTATTCTGTAAAGCAGTGGTTCTCAACCTTTCTAATGCCGTGACCCCTAAATAAAGTTCCTCACATTGTGGTGCCCCCCCCCCCACCATAAAATTATTTCCATTGCTACTTCATAACTGTAATTTTGCTACGGTTATGAATCATTATGTAAATATCTGATATGCAGGATGTATTTTCATCATTACAAATTGAACATAATTAAAGCATAGAGATTAATCACCAAAACATGTTTGGAGGAGTATGGACAATGGATGATGGGCTTTGCAGTACCTTCAACAGATTCAGTTCTGACTTCCACAGACAACTGAGACTCCCAACGAATGAAAGACCTGGACAAAACTTGGCACACAGAACCCCCATAACCAACAAAAAAAATACTGGAGGGGGTTGGCAGTGATTTAGGAGAGATATAGTTCACCTACATCTGGAGAGCAAATGTGAACCCAAACAACCATGGATCTGGACCAAACTTGGCACAAGCACTCATTATGCCCAAATGTGAACACTGGTGGAGTTTAGGGAAAATAGACCTTGACATTTGGGAGTTGTAGAGTTACTATTTTATTATTATTATTATTATTATTAGACTCAGTTGGAAGGGACCCCAAAGGTCATCTACTCCAGCCCCTCTTTTATGCCAGGCAGGAAAATAAGAGTTACTATTTTATTATTATACATTACTATTATTATTATTATTATTATTATTATTATTATTCTCAGTTGGAAGGGACCCCCAAAGGCCATCTAGTCCAGCGCCCTCCTTTATACCAGGCAGGAATATAGAATTAGTGTATTGTTATTATTATGTAGTATTATAAGACTCATACAATTGAAAGGAAACCCCAAAGGTCATGTAGTCCAGCCTCTTCTTTCTGCCACACAGGAAGATAGAATTACTGCAGGAGCAATAATAATAATAATAATAATAGTCAATGGAAGGGCATTGGGCCTTTGGAGTTTTGGAGTTATAGTTTGCCTACATCCACAGAGCACTGTGAACTCAAACAATGATGGATCTTTATCAAATTTGGCACAAAAACCTGATATCCTGGAATTGGAATACTGGTGCACTCGAGAGGCGCATGGAGGCAGAGGGATGAGATTCCTTCATCCATGGCCCCTTGGCCCTGCCGCTACCGTTCTCTCCCCCGGTGGCTGCGAAGGGCGAGGATGAGGGGTGGAGCTGGATCTGAATGGAGGGAGAGAGGGAGGGAGGGGCCAAGAGCAGAGGAAAATAAAGAACGAGGGAGGGAGGGAAGGGAAAGATGAAAGGAAGGAAGGGATTACGGCAGAAGGAAGGAAATGGAAAAGATTGGGAAAAAGAAGGAAAGAAATAAAGAGAAGGAAAAAAGAAAGAGCGAGGAAGGAAAGCACCTGGGGCTGCAGAGCTGGATGGCAGCGGGAGGAGCACCTGTCTCTCTTCTCTACGCTCCTAGTCTCCGGCTGCTCTCCTCTTGCTGCCCTTTGGCCCTGCTGCTGGCATGGCTGCTGCTGCTGCTGGTTTCCCACCTGGGGGCAACAGGAGCAGCAAGAGGAGAGTGGCCAAAGACTAGGAGCGTGGCGAAGAGACGGGTGCGCCTCCAACTACCTGCCAGCCCTTTCCTTTTTCCCCTCCCCTTTCCTTCTCCCTTCCTCCCTTCTCTCTCTTTCTTTCCATCATTGTCTCTTTCTTTCCTTCTCTCCTTCTTTCTTCCCTTCCTTTTCCCTCCCTTTCCTTCCTTTCTTCTCCCTTGCCTGACTCAACCTGCCCGTCGGGTCTGTCAAGTGGCAAAAGCCAGGCGAGGAAAGCAGCACCGCGTGGCCTGGCCTGCCGGGAAGCCCCTCCCCTGGCTCGCGTCGCCCATCGGGCCTCGCAAGCCAGGCGAAGGGATACCCGCAAGGCTAAGCCACGCGGTGCTGCTTTCCTCGCCTGGCTTTTGCCGCTTGACAGACCCGGCAGGCGGCACAACCCAGGTGAGGGAGGCAGCACAGCCTGGCCTGGCCTGGTGGGAAGCCCCTTGCCTGGTTCGCGCCGCCCGTCGGGCCTGGCAAGCGGCGAAAGCTGGCCACAGCCAGGCGACCGAGGCAGCACTGCGCAGCCTGGTGGAGGGGGCGGGGCCAATGGACATGGGGCCGCGACCCCTCTGAAATGGCCTGGCGACCCCTCTAGGGGTCGCGACCCCCAGGTTGAGAAACGCTGCTGTAAAGCCACACATATGTTGAATCTCATATTATTTTGTTTAAAGTAATATAAAACTAAAGTGCCTATGTGTATTCCCAAATTATGGGTTACATCAAAATTACATAATGGGTAGACTATAATTAAAAATTGAGGATATCTTTTCTGTCATTATTGCAGTGACGCTATTGATTTTGAGTCTTATTGAAAGAATTTAGTAGTTCCAGTGTCAAGGAGTTAGCAGAACCAATCCATTATGTTCATAAAGTGTTTGAAATCAATGGGTGCAAGGTAGAGTTGTCCGTCCCCGTCCCCGTCCCCCCCCCCACACACACACACTCATTTTAACTTAAATCTGTTAGCAGAGAAGGGAATGCATTCTATGATTTTAATGGCCTTTGATTGTAGCGGCATAGAAGAGAGTAACTGAGAACTCCTGAACTGTGTGCCTGGAAACAACTGTGTATCCACAGGGATACATTTGGAAACAGCAAGTTGAATATTGAATGTATAAATAGAAATTTGGCAAGGTGACCTCCTCTACATAATAAATAATTTTTAGTTTAATCCCCAATGCTTATTTTTTCATTCCCTTGCTTATTTATTACACAATTACTTACTTATTACATATGCATTTACTATTTTTAAAATAGTTTTCTTCCCACCAGGGTGAACTCCTAAAACAATTTCATATAAAATAGACAAAGGTAAACAGCAGCTGCCTCCAGAATATCTGGATGTATTTTTTTATAAATATGTTGAACTACTGCACATTTTTATGGCATTGGAAGTTATTCCTATTCTTTTCAGGTTATTTCTGCTTCTGTTACCAAATTGTATGTTAAAGAAGTAATGCCCACGAACAGATAGGTGTATTTGTGAAATGAGGTGTACCTGTATTTTATCTCTCTGAAATTACTCTCACCTTTGCACTTCTCTTCTCTACAGTTCCACCAGAGAAACCACAGATTGTTAAATGCCGATCCCCTGAAATGGAAACATTTTCATGCTATTGGACTGTTGGCAATTTCCCTAATGTCACGACTCCAGGAACATTACACCTGCTGTATAAAAAAAGGTATGAAAAAAAATCAATTATGAGCTTGACATTGCAAACACACATTTTTATTACTTCCCTATAAATAAACACCACCGTCCTCCCCTCATGTTGATTCATGTAGGAACCAATGATACTGCTAGGCATACTGTTCAAAAGATCACAAATGATTTTCGAGCTCTAGGAACAAAGCTAAAGCAATGTAATGTACAGGTGGTCTTTTCATCCCTCCTCCCAGTCATAAAACACGGTCCTACAAGGGCCAGAAAAATAGTACAGGTCAATGACTGGCTTAGAAAATGGTGTCAGGAGGAACGCTTTGGCTTCCTTGACCATGGCCTGCTTTTCCAGGAGGATGGCCTACTGGCAAGGGATGGGGTGCATCTCACACAAGTAGGAAAACACCTTTTTGCTCACAGACTCGCAAACCTCATTAGACGCACTTTAAACTAGGTCCACCGGGGGAGGGGGACAACAGCCTTGCGAACACTACTTTACCTACAATGTCAGGGAACCAACAGAAGGCTAAACGGAGGTCTGCACAAACACAACGAGGACCAAGTAACGAAAGCACAATAATCCCAATTAAACAGCTCAGGGGAAGATCTCAGGGGCTCACATGTCTTTACACTAATGCACAGAGCATGGGAAATAAACATGACGAACTCCAACTTTTAGCACAACACCACAAATATGATATCATAGGCATCACTGAAACCTGGTGGGATGACTCCTATCGCTGGAATGTAGACATCGAGGGCTATAACCTCTTTCACAGAAACCGAACAAAGGGGAGAGGAGGCGGAGTAGCCTTATATGTCAAAAACTCTTATGCTGCAGAAGAAATGCATGACAGCAATCCGGGAAACCAGCTTGAAAGCATCTGGATAAGAATCAAGGGAACTGGGACTCAAAAAGATTTTGTTGTAGGAGTCTACTACAGACCTCCAAGCCAGGAGGAAGAACTTGATGAAGTCTTCTGCCAACAGTTGACCAAACAGGCACAGAGAAGAGATGTAGTAGTCATGGGCGATTTCAACTATCCCGATATTTGCTGGAAAACAAACTCGGCCAAGAGTACAAGGTCCAACAAATTCCTTGCTTACCTTGCAGACAGTTTCATGGTCCAGAAGGTAGAAGAGGCAACAAGGGGATTGGCTACTCTTGATCTCATCCTAACAAATGCGGAGGACCTGATCGATGTGGTTGAAGTGGTAGGATCCTTAGGGGCAAGTGACCATGTGCTCCTGCAATTTGAGGTACAAAGGAAGGCTGAAACTAAGACAAGTCAAATCTCCATTTTAGACTTTAGGAGAGCTGCATTCCATGAACACAGATACTAAAAGACAAGGGAGTTACGGATGGATGGGAGTTTTTCAAGAGTGAAATACTCAAGGCGCAATTGCAAACAGTGCCAACAAAGAGAAAAAATAGGACAAGTGCAAAGAAGCCAGAATGGATGTCCAAAGAACTTCTAACTGTGCTAAGACACAAAAGAGACATGCACAAGGAGTGGAAAAAGGGAGAAATCACCAAAGAAGAATTCAAACAAATAGCCAACACCTGTAGGGAAAAGGTCCGCAAGGCTAAAGCACAAAACGAGCTCAGGCTTGCAGGGACATTAAAAACAATAAAAAGGGATTCTTTTCTTATGTCAGTAGAAAAAGGAAAAACAAGGAGGCGATAGGGCCTCTTCGAGGAGAAGATGGGGCAATGCTGACAGGGGATAGGGAAAAGGCAGAACTACTTAATACCTTCTTTGCCTCGGTCTTCTCACAAAAAGAAAGTCATCTTCAACCTCAGCAAGACGGAGTGGATGAGGGATTTGAAGACATCCAACTCCAAATTGGGAAACAAGTCGTACAGGAATACCTGGCCGCTCTAAATGAGTTCAAGTCCCCAGGGCCAGATCAACTACACCCAAGAGTATTGAAGGAACTAGCGGAAGTCATTTCGGAACCATTGGCAACCATCTTTGAGAGTTCTTGGAGAACAGGAGAAGTTCCAGCAGATTGGAGGAGGGCCAATGTGGTCCCAATCTTCAAGAAGGGAAAAAAGGATGACCCAAACAACTACCGTCCGGTCAGCCTCACGTCAATACCAGGCAAGATTCTGGAAAAGATTGTTAAGGAAGTGGTCTGCAAACACTTAGAAACAAATGCGGTCATTGCTAATAGTCAACATGGATTTATCAAAAACAAGTCATGCCAGACTAATCTGATCTCTTTTTTCGATAGAGTTACAAGCTGGGTAGATGCGGGGAATGCCGTGGATGTAGCGTACCTGGATTTCAGTAAGGCCTTCGACAAGGTCCCCCATGACCTGCTGGCAAGGAAACTAGTCCAATGTGGGCTAGGCAAAACTACGGTGAGGTGGATCTGTAATTGGTTAAATGGACGAACCCAGAGGGTGCTCACCAATGCTTCCTCTTCATCCTGGAAAGAAGTGATGAGCGGAGTGCCATAAGCAGGGTTCTGTCCTGGGCCCGGTCCTGTTCAACATCTTTATTAATGACTTAGATGAAGGGCTAGAAGGCAGGATCATCAAGTTTGCAGACGACACCAAATTGGGAGGGATAGCCAATAGTCCAGAGGACAGGAGCAGAATTCAAAACGATCTTGACAGATTAGAGAGATGGGCCAAAACTAACAAAATGAAGTTCAACAGGACAAATGCAAGATACTCCACTTTGGCAGAAAAACGAAATGCAAAGATACAGAATGGGGATGCCTGGCTCGAGAGCAGTATGTGTGAAAAAGATCTTGGAGTCCTCGTGGACAAACAAGTTAAACATGAGCCAACAATGTGATGTGGCGGCAAAAAAAGCCAATGGGATTTTGGCCTGCATCAATAGGAGCATAGTGTCTAGATCTAGGGAAGTAATGCTACCCCTCTATTCTGTTTTGGTTAGACCACATCTGGAATATTGTGTCCAGTTCTGGGCACCACAATTCAAGAGAGATATTGACAAGCTGGAATGTGTCCAGAGGAGAGAGACTAAAATGTTAAAAGGTCTGGAGAACAAGCCCTATGAGGAGCGGCTTAAGGAGCTGGGCATGTTTAGCCTGAAGAAGAAAAGGCTGAGAGGGGATATGATAGCCATGTATAAATATGTGAGAGGAAGCCACAGGGAGGAGGGAGCAAGCTTGTTTTCTGCTTCCCTGGAGACTAGGACGCGGAACAATGGCTTCAAACTACAAGAGAGGAGATTCCATTTGAACATTAGGAAGAACTTCCTGACTGTAAGAAGAGCCATTCAGCAGTGGAACTCTCTGCCTCAGAGTCTGGTGAAAGCTCCTTCTTTGGAAGCATTTAAACAAAGTCTGGATGGCCATCTGTCAGGGGTGATTTGAATGCAATATTCCTGCTTCTTGGCAGGGGGTTGGACTGGATGGCCCATGAGGTCTCTTCCAACTCTTTGATTCTATGATTCTATGATTCTATAAATAAACATTAAGTGTTATTTCATAAATGAATCTGTGTGATATAGCAGTTCTTAAAATCAACTTCTAGTATTTGGATAATAAATGCATGGTAGGTTCCTCAAGAAGAATCTTACTTCACTAGCTGTAAGATATTTTTGCAGCCATATTTTAGTGATGGGAACAACATGGAAACAGCCTTGATAAAATCATAACAACCCATGGTGGATACCTTTTTTATATGCCTCCATTGCTGTTGTTAGACTTTATTGCTATTTGCTATCTTAATGTTAACCTAATTTTAAGTGAGGATTTATTTCAAGAAATATCAAAGTACCAAATCTTATACATAAAACCTCCTTTTGACGCCTCCCCTCCAGCATTCCTTCTTATCCATCAATAACTATTTGACCAACATATGTTTACGAGCATATTTAATTCGTGCCATCAAAAATTAGGTGTTTTTTTCTACTCAAAAAGAGGTAAATACAATTACAGGCAGTCCCTAAGTTACAAACAAGTCATAATTAAGAAAAAGGATGAGAAAAAAGAAAGTGGGAGAAATCCACCACTTGGAAGGGGAATTCACTCCTGACAGAGTGATCATGGGGAAAAGGTCTCCTAACTGAAGCTTTAGCACCAATGCTTGTTTCCACAACAAGCCATTTTTTTCAAAATCCAATTATCACAGGGACAGAAAGTGAGGTGAAATCTTCTGAACAGGGGCACAAACAGCAAAGCAAACACCACAGAGCTGTTAACTCCTCCCTATCCTATCCAAAGCTTTTATGTATGCATGTATGTATGTATGTGGTTGGAGTTACACTTAAAAATGTACCTGTTCCAACTTACATACACATTCAACTTAAGAACAAACCTACAAAGCCTATCTTGTTCATAATTTGAGGACTGCCTGCATAGAAATAACATTAAAGAAAACACATTCTCTTTTTAAAGGGTTATCCTTGTAAAGGTTTTCTGCTGCATTTTTGCAGCTGGTCTGCTGTAGTAACATTATTTGCATTTTACTTTTATGCAAAAAGTATTTCTGTTTTACTTTTATGCACAGAGGATTGTAAAATCCTCCATGTAATGTACATGGGAATATCATCCAGGACAATAGAACAGCAAGGCATTGCTTGTTGTAAAAAAGCATTTGCAAGTGATAAGAAGATGCAAGTCAAGCTTTTTTTAAAAAAAAAAGAAATGGAAAGTCCCAAGTCTGCGTGCTAAATCACTGCTTTTTAAACTGTGGGTCTCGACCCTTAGCTTAATATTGGGGTCACAAAAAATGTAAACAATAAAAGGTTTCTGAACACCATCTAGATAATCACATTGTTGTGGCAGGGAAAGATTTCAGCAAAGGGAGAGATAATACCAAGAGACATCCTTTCTGGAGATAGAAAATATGGCTTTATTTCCAGCCAGCGACTCTGGTGTGGACTCGCGTCCCAAAAGCAAAACCAGAGCGTCCGATCAAGGTGCGGACTGCCCTTTTATAGATGCCAATCGGAGTGAAACAAAGAACATACATCTTCATACAATTTCATACAATATCGTCATTCCTACGTCATCCTAGCATCAAATTCTATCTCCTAACATGCCAAGCATGTCTGTGTCTTGCTGGAGAGCAAGCATGGAATGTCCCCCTCCTTCTTGCTTACTTAGAGGGGGCCTTCTCGTACCAGCCTGTGTCTTATCTCTCTTCTGGAATGCATGCCCCCCTACCTCTTCAGCCCCTTCTGAAGACAAGCAGTTTGCTTGCCTGTTAGCATTCTTGCTACACAGAAGGAACTAGATTTTCCTATACATTTAAAGTATATATGATTTTTATGCATAAATCAATCAATAAATATCCATTTTTCCAATATCTCCTCATCAACATGAATCTTTTAGCAACAATGTGCAGTGTTTACAGCATAGAAAATGCTTCAGCTGTACTTCATGAAAGGAAAATCAGGCTGTTTAGCAAACTTTGCAAATGGTGATTACCAGTTAATGCTTGATTTGTACACCCAGGGTCACTTCAAATGTCCTAGGTCGGAAATTTCTCAGGCACAATGGGGTCATGAGTGGAAATAAGTTTAAGAAGCTCTACTTTAAATAGCCACTGAGGATGTTCATAGTATTTGTGTGTCTTGCCTATTTAATCCTGAATTATTTTCCTATCATTCTAGGCCGACTGGGTGGGAAGAATGTCCTGATTATGTAACTTCTGGTGAAAACAGTTGTTATTTCAACACAAGCTACACTTCCATTTGGGTTCCATACTGTATCAAGCTGACTGACAAAACCCAGATGTATGATGAAAAATGTCTGAATGTGGAGGAGATAGGTATACTTCCAATAGTTATTTAGTCTGCTTCTTTTATAGCACTGTAACCATGAGTGTTTGGAGTTCTTGTCTTATATGTTACTCTGAAGATGAAAGTGCATTACATGTGAAAGCAGGACTGTTCTGTCTCTCCACACTCATTTGAAAATAAGGAAAGAGTCCTGTTTTTCTCACCTCGAATGCAACTGCCACCCCACTTCTCAATTTTCTATATTTTTTGCAGTCTCAAACTCAAAAATGCACATTGTCACATCCACCAGTTCCCATTAATATTGTACTATTTGTGTTTTCTCTACTTCCAGCACCCGCCCTTTGATTTAAAAATAAATAAAGTGTATTTCTTCAGACCTGTCCAACCTTTTATTAGTATATCATTCTACCTCCCAACTGCTAGCTGTCTTTCTTCTAATGGACACATGGATGGTTCTGGGAATTGTGACTGATTCTCCATTTTTATGAAACCAGCTGAATTCAAACCCCAGCTTGGGAAAACCAAAACCTGGACTTTTTATGGGCCAACTAGTGCCCTGTCTCTTAAACACAAAGTTAATGTTCCTTGTTGGGGTTACTTGTTACTTTTGGGGAATTTTCTTGCATGTTGGAACATTTACAATTGATAAGAGGATGGAATAAGACTTTTAAAATTCCTATACATTTTTTCTTTCTTTAAAATGACATTAGAAAGTAACTGGAAAATATTACACCCTCCTCCCACTATTGCATCACTTTTCAAATGTCTTTACATCCCCAATACAAAAAAGCAACTAGTTTGAAGCTTTGGAAAAAATTGCACTCCCTTAGACATGTTCCTTGAGGACGGATGGTGTGGAAATGGCTATAGGTTAAAATGGATATTGAATTCTCTTTCATTTATTCTTTGGTTGAAATGACACAGTGATACCAGACCCTCCTGTTGGACTCAACTGGACTGTGCTGAACACCAGCCCAATAGGTATCCATACCGATATCCTAGTCACCTGGAAGCCTCCACCTTCTGCAGATGTCAAGAATGGATGGATCACACTCAACTACCACCTCCAGTACAAAGAAGTCAATGAGACAAAATGGATTGAGGTATATATAAGGGGAGGAGTCCCCGGTGGCACGGTGGGTTAAACTGCTGAGCTGCTGAACTCTAATCAAAAGGTCGCAGGTTCGATTCCGGGGAGTGGTGTAAGCTCCTGCTGTTAGCCCCAGCTTTTGCTAATCTAGCAGTTTGAAAACATGCAAATGTGAGTAGATCAATAGGTACTGCTCTGGTGAGAAGGTAACAGCACTCCATGCAGTCATGCTGGCCACATGACCTTGGAGTTGTCTACAGACAACGCCGGCTCTTCGGCTTAGAAATGGAGATGAGCACCAAACCCCAAAGTCGGACAAGACTGGACTTAATGTCAGGGGAATACCTTTACCTTTACTATATATAGGGGGAACCCTCCTTTGAAGTTTTGCATTCTCCTTGAGCCAAGAACGTCCCAAATTGTTATTCAGGACCTATTCTGGAATCCTGCAGAGATAAGATACTCAAAGGTACTATTGACCCAATAGAGGATTATCAGCAAATTATTACTTCCCTCAAACCTCACCTGATTCATACAGAACCAACTAAAGTCAAAAAGCCCGGTAAGGGAAGTTGGTTCGGTGCAGAATGCAGGAGCCAAAAAAAGATCCTGTCCCTGGCCATCAGAGCAGCCAACAAAAATGGGACTGAACAAATCTATAAAAGCCTGAGTGAAATTCGTTCACAATATAAAACCCTACTGAAAAGGAAGAAACTTGAATTCAACAGGCAAAATTGGATCAAGCTGGATCTGGCTGTTAGGCAAAAGGAGGAGGTCAAATTCTGGAATATGGTGCATTCAGGGCTAAGGCCCTTGCAACTTCATCTAGACTCCCAAATTGCAGCACATACTTGGGAAACTTATTTTGGAGACATATTCAGTGGCCCAGAGACTGCTGAGGAAGTGACTAGACCCATTGACTTCCCTGATTGGCCACCAGTTTCTCCAGAAGAAATTGAAGGACTGCTTCAAAAATTAAAAACAGGAAAAGCCCCAGGAGAGGATATGCTACCGCCAGAATTATTTAGATATAACATCACCTGGTGGGCTCCCATCCTGGCCAGATTGTTTACATACATCAACCAGACAGAAATGGTCCCAAATGGGTGGAAAACTAGTGTGATTGTTCCTCTATACAAAAAAGGCAATAGGACAGACCCACATAATTATAGACCCATTAGCCTGTTGAATGTAGTGTCAAAAATTTATGGTAGGTTCCTGCTAAATAAACTACATAGTTGGGCTGAGGAGAATAATATTATTGCAGAAGAACAGGCTGGATTTCGGCATGGCAGAAGCACAATAGACCAGAGTTTTGTGCTTTCACACCTAATCCAAAATAGTCTGAAGAAACCAAAGGGATGCCTACACATGGCATTTGTGGATTTTACCTCAGCCTTTGACTTAATTGATAGACAGAGTTTGTGGGCAAAGTTGGCAAAGACTAATGTGGATAGATGACTATTGTTATTATTGCAACAGCTATACTCAGGGACAGACCTAAGAGTGAGGTTAGGCCTGTCAGGCAAGCTATCAAACAACATTGAAACAAAAAGAGGAGTTAGGCAAGGCTATCTGCTAGCACCCTTTCTGTTTAATTTTTACGTGAATAATTTAGTTGCTGAGCTAAGCTCCCCCGACCACTTCCCTCCCTTAGCAGGTAGTAGGAGAATCCAAGTCTTGTTGTATGCGGATGATATGGTCCTCCTGTCAACTACGCAAATAGGTCTCAGGAGACTTTTGAGGTCACTAAGCAGAATTTGCGAACAAGAGAAGTTGAGGATCAATCACTCTAAAACCAAAGTAATGGTATTCTCCAAAAGGAAACAAATACACAATTGGAAATTGGATGGCCATTCAATAGAGCAGTGTCATAGCTTTAAATATCTGGGCATACACTTCTCATATAATGGAAATTGGAAGAGCCATATTGAGGCAGCCAAACTAGCTGCATGGTAGGTCAACCTACCCTTGAAAATCAGCAGTATCACACACTGGATAGTTAATTATGTTTCTGTAATTAACTAGCATCTGTAAACATCCAAATTCTAACCAAATTCTTTTTTATTTCTTGTATGAACTCTCTAGAAAAAGCTTTTGTATATGAGTAGCAGTCAACCGATGAATGTTCCATTTACTATTACAGTGGGAAGCAAAGGATATCACAAAATTTCCATTGTACGCTTTGAAGACATGCCGTGATTATGAGATACGAATCCAAGCAAAAATCCCAGGAGGAGTTTATGGGGAGTTCAGTGAAGTGCTTTATGTGTCTTTTGGCTCAATGGGACTGGTACCATGTGAGAAAGGTAAGGAAGAAGGAAATGGCCTTTGAGATGGTTTCTCTTGTTGGATTGATGTCATGCTTCCCACATAATTGTGTTCTTGTCCCATTTACTACATTAATTTCTTGGTCAGCACATATAGAAAAGTCTATACTGAATTTGTAGCTTTCAAATGGTATATGGGCCAACTCAGTTAATGCCATTCATATGGATAAAGAATATTCAAATTCTTCTGCTTTTCCATATAGTCTGTTATTGATGAGGGATGGGGGGACACTTTGGCCTTCCAGATATTTTGGATTGCAACTCTCATAAGCTTATGACTGGCCATGTTGGTTGGGGCTTCTGGGAGTGGCAGTCCAAAGCATCTTGAAGGATGTGGATTCGTCTTCCCTGCACTAGATAGTCAACAAAGGACATGTTTTCAAGGAAGCTCTTGTGTGAAAATGCATTTGAAAGATTTCAGTTCAGGTTCTAGATCAGAAGCGAGCAAAATGTGGTCCTCCAGATATTTGGTGGACTGCAAATCCCAACATTCTTCACCATTGACTATAGTGTCTCATGGAAATTGTAGATGAACAAATCCAGCTCAGCCCAGCTCTAAAAAAGGCTAGATATTCCAAATAATAGATTAGTAGTTTCTCTAGGCATTTGACTTTTTTTAATGCAAGCAAAATTATATACCTTTGGAGGGTAAAACAGATATCAAATGTGCCCAATATAGTCTTGGCTTCTTTCCCTCTTCAGCAAAAGCAAATTGTTAATTAACAGTGCTAGCTTTTTTTCCCTATGGTATCAAGGAATAGATGTACTTACTTTATCTTCCTTCGTGGGTCTTTGGGGCTACATGAAACTTCTACTTTGTTTTCATCTATTGTATTTGCTGCCTTGGATTCTATATTAGAGGAAAGGAAAGAAGAATGGATGAATGATAGGTAGACAGATGTTGGTATGTAAGCAACTATATGCACACCGTAATAGGGAATTATACTGGAACTTTTAACTCTAGGAAGACAAATTTGGAATACAGAGACCAAACAGGGCCACGACTGCATGTGACAGAGTGGAAAGATTTTTAATAGTTTGCTAATTAGATTAGAAAGATTTTAGTTTGCATGTCCACTTGAGGTAGCAAGAAGTGTCATCAAAGAATATAAAGGCAACTACTGTTTTGTCTTTTGTTGTTGCTTTGTTGTTTTAGAATTACCAATTCCTTGGCCTTTGGTGATGTCCTTTGGAACCCTAGGTCTGATGGTGATGCTGTCGCTGGTTCTCTTTTCCAAACAGCAAAAGTAAGTCTTAACTGCATTTGATAGATTTTATGTAATACACTGCCACTTTGTGAACAATTAATTCAACAACTGAAACCTGTGTGTTGAGTCTCAGTTAAACTTAAAGCATGGTTACAAACAAACAATTATCAAAGACGAATGGGTTCTGGATCTAGAGGGGAGAAAACTTAGGCTGGCTCTACACTGTAGAATGGATGCAGTTTGACACCACTATAACTGCAATGATTCCAATCCTATAGAATCCTGAGAGTTATTGTTTGGTGAGATCCCATCACATTTTGGCAGAGAAGGTTAAAGACTTTGTAGAAGCCGGGTTGCAGCTAAACGTCAAAAAAACCAAGATTATGGCAACAAGAATGATTGACAACTGGAAAATAGAGGGAGAAACCGTGGAGGCCGTGACAGACTTTGTATGACACCACTCTGATGGCCGAAAGCAAGGAGGAGCTGAGGAGCCTTCTAATCAAGGTGAAAGAAGAAAGTGCAAAAGCTGGGTTGCAGCTAAACATCAAAAAAACCAAGATTATGGCAACAAGAATGATTGACAACTGGAAAATAGAGGGAGAAAACGTGGAGGCCGTGACAGACTTTGTATTTCTAGGTGCAAAGATTACTGCAGATGCAGACTGTGGCCAGGAAATCAGAAGACGCTTACTTCTTGGGAGGAGAGCAATGTCCAGTCTCGATAAAATAGTAAAGAGTAGAGACATCACACTGGCAACAAAGATCCGCTAGTCAAAGCCATGGTATTCCCTGTAGTAACCTACGGATGTGAGAGCTGGACCTTAGGGAAGGCTGAGTGAAGGAAGATCGATGCTTTTGAGCTGTGGTGTTGGAGGAAAGTTCTGAGAGTGCCTTGGATTGCGAGAAGATCCAACCAGTCCATCCTCCAGGAAATAAAGCCCGACTGCTCATTGGAGGGAAAGATACTAGAGACAAAGTTGAAGTACTTTGGCCACATCAGAGGAGACAGGAAAGGCGAGAGAAGACAATTATGCTGGGGAAAGTGGAAGGCAAAAGGAAGAGGGGCCGACCAAGGGCAAGATGGATGGATGGCATCCTTGAAGTGACTGGACTGACCTTGAGGGAGCTGGGGGTGGTAACGGCCGACAGGGAGCTCTGGCGTAGGCTGGTCCATGAGGTCACGAAGAGTCGGAGACGACTGAACGAATGAACAACAACAACAAAACTATAGTTCTCATAATTCCATAGCACTGAGCTCATGAGAGTAAAGTGGTGCCAAACAACATCCCTTCTATAGAGTGGGCACACCCTTGATCACTTACTTGGACAGATTTTTTGATGTAAGTAAATCAATTACCTAGACACATTTTGATGCACATTTTAAATGTTTAAAAACCTATTTGTTGTTGTAACTGGGGGGGGGGGTGCATTTTTGTGAAAGTGAAGTGTTTCTTATCTTATAAATATATGAGTACAAAATTATTATTTTAAAATGCAAATAGTATATTCGGGGGGGGGGGGCTAATAATGATCGGAATTGCAGAAGGTAGAGAGGTTATTTAACGGTTTCCTCTGGTGCTGCAAATCTAAAGTGAATTCCTCCTCTCTGAGGACATATTTGCTTTCAAAGAAAATCTCCCTCCCATTAATTTCAATAGGCTAATTCATCACAATACAACTATGTTTCAGTTGACAGATTTCCTTCACCACTGGTGCTGACTAGTGTTTTGAGCGAGTCAAAAGATAACAATAATGCATTCTGTCTATGTATCTTCAAGTCACCTGCCCATTTATGGTGACTACATGAATTTCATGGGGTTTTCTGGGATAAGGAAGACTTAGAGGTATATTTCAGCGGAAGGAATTTACAAGAACCACATTTGAGTATTCCTTATCTCAGAAACTCCTATGAAATTCACTATACCATGAGAAGAAGGTATTAAATTCCTACTCCTAATCCTCATAGATTCTATTTCCATAATTATAAAACTATTTGTTATTAAACAACCTTCCCATAATTTGTCAGGCAGCATGACTGTTCTTCTCTTAGCTGAAGGATTCTTGGAACGATATTCTTTCCCAAGGCTTAGTCTAATGTCATTTTGTTTCTCACTCTGGGAAAGATTGATTGAGGCTATTGCATGGCTCTCCTTTTTACTAGGGCTATCAACTGATTTAGGCATCCTAACTCATTTATTGAAAGTCAATGTGATGTAGTGTTTTGAGCATTAGACTATTACTCTGGAGACCAGAGTTTCAATTCCTACGCAGTCACAGAAAACGGTTGGGTGACTTTAAGCACGTCACATTGTTAGTCTGAGAGGAAGGCAAAGGCACACCTCTCAAAATGAACATTGCCAAGTAAACCTTTCTACATACAAATAACCTTTTACATGAAAAAGACTTGACAGTCTCTTCCCTGCAACCTTCATCAGTCTCCAGATTCCATTACTTGCCACTTACATGGGCCCTACAAAAAAAAGGAAAATGTCCTTCAACCACACTTGAACATATGCCAGATTTGTGCAAATCATACCCATGTATTTCATACCATATTACCAAAATGTACACTAAAATAAATAAATATACATGAACTTTTATTTCTTTCTAAGGTTGAAGATACTGATTCTTCCTCCTGTTCCAGTGCCCAAGATTAAAGGAATTGATCCAGATCTCTTAAAGGTAATCAGAAAACAGCTATGGTTTGAGATTACAATTCAATCTGAGATATAGCAAAGCTTTAAATATTGTGAAATGTTTTTTAGTTAAGAATGTTACAAGACTTCCTTTCAAGGAATGTGGGAGGTTCTTAGTAACAGTTAAATTCTATATAGCAAGAGTAGGAGAACCCCTGGTCTATAAACACCAAATCCAGTCCATAGCAGTTCACTAAACTGGCTCCTAGACTATCCCTGATTGCTTATCTCCAAAACTCCACACCCTTAAAAGGGGCAGAATACAAGAATCACTGAACCACACACTCAAATGTGCAGTGCAATTGCTTTGATTCTACCTAATTTCCCTCCCATGTGTAAGACAAAGAATACCTAGAACTGAACCCACTAAGTTAGCCCTTTTGAGTTGTATGGCTGGTGCTCCACTAGCTTAGCAGCAGCATAGTACTCTTTGCTCTCCCTTCATCAGTCTCATGCAGGGAAAGCAAAGATTCTGGCAGTGTTTCAGCCAATTCTTTATCAAGGGATCCCATGACATCAGAGGACATGAGTGTGACCTCTGGTGCCATCCAGCCCAAAAGAGGAGCTTTGGGAGAGTTCTGGACCTTCTTTGCGGCTTCTACTCCTACTATGAAGATTGTAGTGAAGCAGTGTTGTGGCTTATTCCACGACTAAACTCTAAATGTTCAAAAACCATATAGGTTGCTTTGCCTGTGTTTCACTATTAAACTTTGAAACTGTGACAAATGGCTGTATGAACTATAGAAAGATTCATCATGACCACCATAAATTAAATTTGTGTTTCTTTTAGAAATCCAGTAGCCTTTCTTTCCTGTGATGTAGGCATAGAATTAACACCACTTCTGAAGACAAGTGGGAAAATTTAAAATGTTAATTATGGCAAAAGAGAGTAAGATTTCATTCTTTAAATAATAATAGGTTTAAAAAAACTAAGATCTAAATCCAATTGTTAGAGTCAACTAATTCAATCAATAGGATTTATGTAAGTCCTGGTGTAGTAGCTATAAGTATGTGCAATAGGCCTACACCTGCTTAAGTTAGCAATTGAATTTTAGGGTTTATATACAACCTTTAGGATAAAGCTCAACCAAGGGGACATATAACATACAATTAGCTTCTGATATACAGAAGGAATGAATAAATAGTTAGAAATCAGTTTCTTAAATATCAAACATCTTGTTATTCTTTCTATTATAATTAAGAGAGAATTCTTCAGCTGAAAAATTAAACTCTTAATAACTTTTCTCTTGGAGTAGATCTTTTTAAACACTACCCATCCTCTCCTTCATAATCACAAGCATATGCTGGAATCCGTTTCCAGTTCTAAAATACAGATTGAGGATTTTTTTTCTCTTTTTGCCTATAAGACACATACATATTATAACACTTCCATAACTGTTCCAATGTTCATGCTATTTTAAAATATATTCTCTGTAGAAAGGAAAGCTGGATGAAGTCAATTCCATCTTAGCCAGTCATGGAAGCTACATGCCACAGCTGTATGGGGATGACTCTTGGGTGGAATTTATTGAGCTGGATATAGAAGAGAATGAAGAGAGGACCGAAGGCTCAGATACCGACAGGCTGCTTGGTGATGACCACTTGAAGACTCATGGTTGCCTTGTTGTGAGAGATGATGATTCTGGTCGAGCAAGCTGCTGTGAACCTGATATTCCCGAAACTGACTTCAGCGTGAGTGACACATGTGATGGAACCTCAGACATTGACCAGTCCAAAAAGACAAATGATAAAGAAGAGGATCTCTTGTGCCTTGAACAAAAAGACAATGAGAAGCCATCATCAAGCTTTGATGAATCACCAACTCAGCTGTCACCTGATAATCCAGCCAAAGACAAGCAGCCAAAAGCCCATGCTTCTGTCACTGACAATTCTGAAATGACAAGCCCACCAGTTCAAACCCAGCTGAGCAACCAGAGTTCAGTGGCAAACATTGACTTTTATACGCAGGTGAGTGACATTACACCAGGAGGAAGTGTTGTGCTCTCCCCAGGGCAAAAAATGAAGATGGCAAAAATCCAAAGTGAGGCTGGGAAGGAACCAGTTGCACAATGCCAACCAAGTATTGCCATGGAAAGTGCCTATTTCTGCGAAACAGATGTGAAAAAATGTGTCATTGTGACACCTCACAAAGAGTCTGAGCCAGAAGTTCAAGACCAGAGCTTTCCTGAGGGTGCTTACATTGTCACAGAGAGCCTTACCACTAATGCTGTGAACCCTGCAACTGCAGCAGAAGATGAAAAATTACCGGAAAGTTCGGAGATGCCAGTGGCAGACTATACATCCATTCATGTAGTACAGTCTCCACAAGGCCTTGTGCTCAGCGCAACATCTCTTCCTGTGCCAGACAAGGAATTCATGGTGTCATGTGGTTATGTGAGCACAGACCAGCTTAACAAAGTCCTGCCCTAGCCTTCTCATCACTGACTTTGTAAAAAATAATATCATCTTTTTCTGTTCCTCCATCCAGCTCCAAAGAATATATGAAGCTCTTTAAGAACAGGAGCTCCCCAATTCACTTCAGTATTACAAAAAGCTTCTTATATTTTCAGAATATTGCTGACATTTTCATGAATGAGGAAGTTCATGCTCATGGGGAGCTCCATGAACTTACTGGTGTCTTTGCAAATTCATTTGTAGCCTTTCAGTTGGATATAAACGTCATAGAGTTGGCTTGGGTGTGTATATGCTTAAATCACAACAAACGTGTTCAGTATTGTTAAAAAGGTGATGGTGCGGTCCCTTCCACTGTAATGTTGAATCAATCACAGTATTGTTGTTGTATCTTGTAAGTATTGTCTTAAGAAATATTGTTGGAGCTGGTTCAATAGTACTGGATGTCTTTTGTTATTGTAGGTGTTGATTTGAGGTTTTTTGGAATACATTGGATGGCTTTGTAGATGTGTCATAAATCATTCTTCATCAGAAAGCTAGTGTCAAATGTTATTTTCAGTTTGAACAGTTTGTGTACAATCACATCATATGCTGAGAGGTTTATGCTGGCAACTGGAGAATGAAACATTGGGTAAGGAAGCAAAAATAGCTTGGTTAAATAATACATTTATTTTGAGTCATATAAATAGCAAGCCTATTTTAATTCTTTAGACAAACAAGCATGGATATTTTATATTTACACTGCACCATGTTGTTTAATTATAATGATCCATCTATGGAATGTATGTGCTGCAATTATTGTAGCCATTTTTAAAAGACTATAAGGAGAGAGTTATTTTTACATAACATTTTTATACTTCCAGAAAAGCTATAAAGAACTAAATTTTCAATACTACTTTACTGGAGCCTGTATGATTGGAAAAAAACTTATATTTTTGCATTTTGTAGCAAACCACAATGTGTGCAACAAACTAAATATTTCTGCCACCATTTAGTTGTACCAACACATTGTGCTATCTGTCTACCAGTAGAAACTAAAATAAGTTTGGAATTTTCAGGGCCTTTTAGGAACACAATTATATGTTGATGGAACATTGGGAAATAAGTGCTGGTAACTTGACAACATCATTTTTCACAATGAATTCTTTTAAGACCTGTATCAGAAAATTACTAATAGACTCAGCACTAAAAGTCAATAAAAGCTGAGACAGAAAGATTATTTTCAGGTTCAGACTCTGAATGAAATGAAGTTATAGATCTCAGCATAGTATTTTAAACAATGCAACATTATTTTATTTTGCATATTCTGCACACATTAGATGGAGAAAGGCCTGAAAGGAGTAGTGAAGCTTAAGTCTTATTTGAGTAGGTTTCTCAAGGTACGCCTTAACAATCTCAATTTTTGTTTACAAAACTAACGGTTACAAGCAACAGTTTGCCAAACATGCTTGCTTGTTTTAACCATGTTGCCTTTCAGAGAGGCATCGTTGCAGAACTGGGTCAGCAGGCAGCCATTTCTGAATCAAGATCTGAAGCCTTGCCAGCCCAAAGTTCCTTAGGTCACTGAAAGTGAGCTGAGAGCCTAAGGCCTAGCATCAAGCCCCAAAACTCCCTATTGCGATCCCTCAGGTTGCACATAGCTGCCTTAGTAATGAGTCAAATCATTGGTCCATCTAACCCAGTTCAGTCTATTCTAATTATTGGCCATTTTTTGCAGATCTTTTAATGGAAACACCAGCTATAAAGAATCAAAGCTGGGATGTTCTGTATGCAAATCAAATGCCCTGCCACTGAGTTAGGAACCCATGAATTGGAGCTGTGCAGATAATTGATAGTAATTGACAAGATGGAACACAGCTGCATAAAACTGTGTACACATACAGATCTGTGTCCAAACTCACATTTGTGCGTTGACCTTAAGTGAATTTAAATATAGGAGAAGGATCTTTAGGTTAATGGAGATTCTTCATTTTCACTGTTGTTCTCTTACAACAGGAACAGGCCACTGGAAGCTGTGACTTTTAAAAAGAAACTGTGATAATAATGCACAGGGTGTGTGGGATTTTGGCACCTTCCAAGAAATACGTTTTTTACTGTAGTTAGAAATGTTGCCTGTTTCTGTTTGTTTTTGTTTTATAACAGGGATGAACTCCAGAGCTGGACCCTCATGTACCTTTTGTCAACATTTGCCTTACACTGCAATGCTAAACAAAAAAAATGTGCAATTAACACCTATTACCTTAGAAGCAATGGTTCAATGAATCTTGTTTCCAAGTTAAGAAGCAAGACAGACAGATGTTTGTCTGTCTTACTTCTGAACAATCGTTCTTGAGATTACACTGTGGCAATAGAGAACCAATTGCATATTATAGATCCCACGAAAACAGACTTTGAAGTCTCCCTCTCAACATTCAGTGGAAGCTTACCTTCAGGTGATACTAAACAGGAGAGAGAGGATAATGAGGTTTCTATAATTATCGATTACCTAATGAGAAGGATAACTAGATGAGAAGGGTGGCAGCCAATGAGGAAAGTCATTATCACCTTCTTCCCTTCGAAAAACAAACAGAGCTTGATTGCTTATTATGCAATGAATGTAATGTATAGCCAGAATCTAAGGGGATTCTGTAAGTATCACCTGCATCTCAGTGAGCAAAACTCCATATAAGTCAGTGGTCCTCAACCTGTGGGTCCCCAGATGTTTTGGCCTTCAACTCCCAGAAATTCTAGAAGCTGGTAAACTGGCTGGGATTTCTGGGAGTTGAAGGCCAAAACATCTGGGGACCCACAGGTTGAGAACCATTGGTATAAGTAGATCACATCAACATATCGGTGACCTGAATATTTTTTTTCTAATGATATCAAGACAATAATTGTGAACCTTCAAAATCCCAGCACCTTGAATTATCTGACGAAGTAGACTTATGCTGTGTCTACATAGGCCAAATAATATAGACACAGCTCTCAGTTGCTAGAGGGGATCTGCATCCAGTCATTAATATGGCTAAAGGGGGAAATGGGATTTACCCCAGGGCTTCCTTGAAGCTCTGGGGTAATCCCAGAGTTTTGAAGTTGTGGATAACTGGGCCTGATCTGATCCTCTCTCCACACACCCAATGGACCCACTGCTGCATTGCTAGCTCAATGGCAGAGGCTTGCTTGTGATGCCATTCTGGAAAAATGCAACATCACCGGCATGTGTCTGCTAGGGGCTGGTATGCAGTTGTGGCAACAATATCCCCAATGCATGCTTAGCCCAGCTGGCTTTTTGGCCAACAAAAGACCTCTAGGGATATTCCCAGCCTGTATTGGGGTAGCTTCAAAGTGGTTCACCCTGAATTAATCAAGTAAGTGTAGACATAGTCTTATTCTACAAAGGCTTATGCTACTAATGTCTTTCTCTCAGACTCTTAAGGTGCTACGAGTTCCCTTTGCATACATTTTGAGTCATATAAGCAAGCCTTGAGAAATGTCAGTTGGTGACTCTGCCATGCTTAAGTGTTTTAAAGGGAAGAATGTAGTCAGAAAGAAATCATTATTTACTTCTGAAATCATTTGTTTCACATAGCTTACTATTTTAAAAAAATATATAAATGTTTTAAACAGTAAATATAAGCAGTGAAGTTGTCTTCTCATTGGTTAGAACTGGGATATTCTGTATCTGGCTTGTACTTTTAAGACTATGTATATTATACTATTAAGTTGCTGTTACATTCTTTTTTCTAACAGCTGCTTTCTTTAGCTTTAGGCATTAATGCCGTCAAGCTATGTAAGTCTCTCTTGAGACAAGGGAATATTTTGCTACATTTCTCTGGACAACGTGTTTCTATCACCAAAAACTAGTTAAATACCTCAATCAATCTCAGAATGTCATTTTGGTACTTCACTGGTTACACAAACCATTACACAACAGTATGGAAATTTGTGTCTTTCTGTTTATATTAAACTTGCTTTATGTCAGTGTTCTCATTTCCTTCTGAAAGTTTAATAAATTTATTTTCTTCAATCCATCATGACATTATTGCATACTTGTTGCACAAGGACTGAAAACACATTCAATCTCAATCTGTTTTTTATGGTTTGACAGTTGCCATTATCCAAATTCATTACTATGCTATAAGCTTCAACCATATGCACAGAGCTCAGGACTTCATCACACTAGAGCATGGATCCACTCTGGAACCGGTTTCTGCTTCCTGCAGAATTCTGGGGCTGGTAGTTTAGGGAGGGGTCTTTAAATTTCTTAGCCAGTAAGGTCCTGGCCTCTACAAACCCCAGAATTCTGTAGGAGGCAGAAATCAGATTTAAAGTGAATCCATTCTCTAGTTTAATGAAGCTGTCAGAGAGCAAGACGGCAGATATAATCCAAGAGACTCAAGGTGGTACAACCTCCCCACACCAACTTCTGCGAACTCAGTAGAAGAAATGCACATTGCATGTTTCAGTCCTTCACTCTTATTCCACATGGAAGCTGTGGCCCTGGATAAGACAAAACACACTTGAAATTATCCATGTCACAAATTATGGGAATTTGCTCAATGTACATTGAACCACTGGCAATAATCTTAAAGGTCCCTTCTACACTACCATATAAAATCCAGATTATTTTATTTGAACTGTATTATATTAGTCTACACTGCCATAATCTGGATTTTATATGGTAGTGTAGATGGGGCCTAAGAGTTCCTGAAGAATAGACATCCCAGCAGACTGGAGAAGAGCAAATATTGCCCCATCTTCAAAAGGTTGGGAGAGGAATCAAACAATGACTGCCCAAGCTGCCTGACACTAATACCAGGAAAGTTTCTAGGGCAGATAATTAAATTTAGGTCCCTTCTACCCTGCTATATACCCAGGTTATCAAAGCAGACAATCCACATTATCTGCATTGAACTGTATTATATGAGTCTACACTGCCATATAATCCAGTTCAAAGCAGATAATCTGGATTTTATATGGCAGTGCACAGGGGGCATTAGAAAGGAATGCCATGGTCTCAAAAAGTCAGCATGGGTTTCTCAAAAATGAGTCATGCCACACTAACTTTATCTCTTAGCTTTGTTGATAGGTTACATGCTTGATAAATGAAGCAAATTCTGCAGAGGGGTTGTTGTAGGTTTTTCTGCAGATCTATCATAACATTATTTCAGTAAAGACTTTGACAAGTTTCCCCATGATATCCTTGCAAATAAGCTAGTAAAATGTGAACTAAAGAGTACAACGTAATAGACTTGTGATTGGTTGACTGACCAAACTCAGAGGGTGTTTACCAACAACTCATCATCACCCTGGATAAGTTCTCTCTTGAGCCCAGTGCTATTCACCATTTTTTGTCAATGATTTTTGTCAATGATGAAATAGGGCATATTTATCAAATTGCAGGTGACACCCAGATACAGGATACTTCAGAGAGAATCAGAGTCCAGAATATTATAGCCAGATTTGGCTATAGCAATTTACCCATTCATAACTTTGAATGTGGATTACTGCAGTTTATGGCTGCCTTATGCCCAGAGAGTGAAAGAAACTGCGTATTAAAAATGTAACCACATGGGCTTTCCAAGTAAACATTATTATATAACAACCAAGCAAAAATACCCTGTAGTCCTGCTTAACCTCAACTATTAAAATACAGTTAAAAGAGAAGACTAGAATTCAAAGAATGTGAAACTAGTTTTATGATTCAAAAGGAACAGTGGAAGCAAAACCTCCACCACTCCATAAAGCAAGAGCCCCTATACTACCAAAAGTAATGGCAAACAGAATTTGATCAATGCCTGTTCATGTAACAGAATATAATATTTATGTGAACAAAACTAGAGCAGTATGTTTTTGTTCCTAGCTTCTCTATGGGTAGGTGATTGTAAGTTATGAGATTGTATGCTGCAATCAATAACAAGGGATATACTGTCCAGTCTGCACATACTTAATTTTCTCTAATGCTTGAGCTGGCTGTCTTGAAAGAATAAATTCTTCATAGGATCAAAAGAAATTGCTAATGGGAGGCTTTTTTCTCTAGTAATACTGTTTTCTTTAAAACCTGATAACAAATTATTTGAGATTTTATTTTGTGTGCTGGATTTGCTTAGATAGATAGAACTACATGGAGAATATATTGCTTTTCTCGAAACTACTAATCAAAGAGATTTGAGGGCAACATTCAGCTACCCACTAGGGAGTGTACTGAGCTCTGGTGCCCCACTACTTTGACAGCCAGATTAAAACATGTAAACCAGGTTGGAAGGCAACAGGAACAGAGGTTTACTGCATTCAGGCCTAAGAGGATGTCTGATACAGAGCCTGCATTCAATTAGCACATAAAGCATGCAATACAGCGCAGGACACTTTATTCATGTTGACAGTCATTCAAAAGACTCACAGCCTCCCTTGATTGGTTGGAAAAGTGGCCCAGTTTGGATCTGGGTACTTATTGGCTGTGGATTTCCTCTGACATCACAAGTGAATGGAGTTTCCTTTGTGGCAGATTTGAAATCCAGTCTGGCTGGTGGGTCCATCTCGAAAGGAGGTGTGGATGTTAGGAATGAGGTTGGACAAATATGTAAAACAGTTCGCGATCAGATTAAATGCTCAGCACAATTTATACAAAGAACAGACTCAGTAAACACAATGGGTCATCAAGGAAACATAAACAGTATAATGAAAAGTATACAGAAGCAATATCCATGTTTGAGTTTGTCGATAGATATCTCCAGAGCCCATTAGAAGCTGGAAAAAATGCTTTACATAAAGGCATTGTTTTTACCTATGGCACTCTTTCTCTTTGATATGCTTGACTCCTCCAAAAAGGCCCTAGAAAGTTATGTAGGAACAACATATATTTTTATTATTTTCCCCAGCAAATATACATTGTTGTTGCTGTTGTTTTTACTATTGTATTTGGGCTCGGGCTCTTGTAAGACGCACTGAGTCATTCGGGAGATGGTAGCGGGGTACAAATAAAGGATTATTATTATTATTATTATTATTATTATTATTATTATTACATTGAACTTCATGAGCGCTGGTGTCAGATTCCTACTTTAGCTTTATTAAAAAAATTCATATGGGGTTCTTTAGGGATAATCGGATCAGTCAAGGGACTTGCCATGTAAGTATAGGGGAAAATACAAAATGATTGTGTATTTCTTCTTCAACTCCCCCTGAGAGATATGCTGATGAGGGGTGAGTTAATCCTATCCACACAAAAGATGTATCCTCTGTCTGCCCCACCTGGCAAGGTTATTCAGAAACAGAGGGAAAAGCAGGGGAAAAGGAATGCCTCCGTGTCAAAGCTGCAAAAGGTGGAAATAAGAAATTAAAAATTAAAATAAAAAATAGAAATTCATTTTCTACTTGTTCAGTTTTTATTTAGAGTTTGTAGAGGTCGTGGTGGGGAGGGGGAGATGCGGAAAAAGGAGACCTCAAATTCGGCTTAATTCGGACCGCTTATCTACATTAATAATCCCAAACCGGTCTCCTAAGGTAAATTGGTGTAACCAGGTGAGCGGGCCCTCGGGATTGAAGGTGGTGCTGTTGAACGCCAGATCTGTCAACGGAAAAACGACCTTTATCCAGGATTAATCCTGGATGAGCGGGCAGATCTGGCGTGCATTACGGAGACCTGGCTGGAGGAAGCTGGGGGGGTGAACCTTACCCAGCTCTGTCCTCCAGGTTTCTCCGTGCAGCATCAACCGAGATCCGGAGGACGGGGAGGCGGAGTCGCAGTGGTCTATAGAGATTCCATCCATCTGACCAGGAGTCCCATCCCGCAGACCACAAATTTTGAATGCGTCCACCTGAGGGTGGGTGACCGGGACAGAATAGGGATTCTGCTAGTGTACCGTCCACCTCGCTGCACTACAGTCTCCCTACCTGAGCTAGCGGGGGTAGTCTCGAGCCTGGCGTTGGAGTCTCAACGGCTTTTGTGTGCTGGGAGACTTCAATATCCATGCCGAGGCGACCCTCACAGGAGCGGCTCAGGACTTCATGTCTGCCTTGGCAACCATGGGGCTGTCCCAACAAACTATTATAAAACCGCTGTTGAAGAAACCATCATTGGACACCACTAAATTTGACAACTTTCGGCCTGTTTCCAATCTCCCCTTTTTGGGCAAAGTCATGGAAAGCGTGGTGGCCTCACAACTCCAGGTATTCTTGAGAGACACGGATTATCTGGATTCGGCACAGTCTGGTTTCAGACCGGGACATGGAACTGAGACGGTCTTGGTCGCCTTAGTGGATGATCTGCGCCGGGAGCTAGACAGGGGGAGTGTGTCCCTGTTGGTGCTCCTGGACCTCTCAGCAGCCTTCGATACCGTCGACCACGGTATCCTTCTGGGGCGCCTTGCGGAAATGGGCCTTGGGGGCACTGTTTGCAGTGGCTCCAGTCATTTCTGGAGGGTCGCACCCAGAAGGTGTTATTGGGGGACACCTGTTCAACACTCACAACCATTGTCTTGTGGGGTCCCCCAGGGCTCAATATTGTCCCCCATGTTATTTAACATCTACATGAAGCCGCTGGGTGAGATCATCCGGAGTTTCGGGGTGCGGTGTCATCTGTACGCAGATGATGTCCAACTCTGTCACTCCTTCCCACCTGCTACTAAGGAGGCTGTCGAGGTCCTGAACCGGTGCCTGGCCGCTGTAACGGTCTGGATGAGGGCAAACAAATTGAAATTGAATCCAGACAAGACAGAGGTACTCCTGGTCAGTCGAAAGGCCGAACAGGGTATAGGGTTACAGCCTGTGCTGGACGGGGTCGCACTCCCCTTGAAGGCGCAGGTTCGCAGCTTGGGTGTGACCCTGGATTCATCGCTGAGCCTGGATCCCCAGGTTTCAGCGGTGACCAGGGGAGCATTTGCACAGCTTAGGCTCGTGCGCCAGCTGCACCCGTACCTTGGGAAGTCTGACTTGGCCACGGTAGTACACGCTCTGGTCACATCCTGCCTGGACTACTGCAACGCTCTCTACGTGGGGCTGCCCTTGAAGACGGCCCGGAAGCTTCAACTGG